TGGGGCTTGAACCGTCAATCCTTTGATTTCAGGGCAAACTCCTACATCCAACGCCACTGCCCACCCTGGACAGGTCGCCAGTCCATCGCAGGGCCAATTTTCAATCCATTTTTTAAATGTTTAATGATAGATTCACTGTCACCATTCATTAACACCCTTTAGTAGATGGAAAAGCCTTCACTGGCATTCTGACTGTGAAACTTACCAGGGATAGTATTTTTTTTTAGCTATGCTACAGTTGCCTCTGCAACACTTAACAAATTATCTATTGAAATAATGGAAATTGGAGAAAAATTGCTTCATGATTATGGCAGTTTCACCCGTGCGATCCCCTTTAAGCTTCAATATAAGGATCACAGAATAAACCTTCCAATTGTCCTTATAATGCCGCAACAAATAAGAACTCTACTTTAAAAAATATGTTAACTTTTGAGCCTGCTCTTTATTGTTGAATCCCCAGTTGGTTGCAAAAATTGTTGCTCAACATAAGATACTTCTGCAAAGTTAAGGACTCACTGCAGCTGTTTGGGTTTCCTTGGATAGAAAAACTTTTTATCAGCTGGCATAATAAACTAGCTAAGCTACAATGCAGTGTCATTATTAGTCACACATATTCATATAAATTCACTCACATATATGAATGACTGGAACTAAATAGATTCAGATAAATTGGAGTGAATTGAATTGAACTGAATTTTCTTCAGAGCTGTTCAGTGGAGCAATAGTTAGCACTGCTGCCTTACAGCAAGAAGGTTCCAGGTTTGATTCCTGGAGTCTTTCTGCATGGAGTTTGCATGTTCTCTCTTTGCATGTGGGCATTCTCTCCGGGTACTCCAGCTTCCTCCCACAGTACAAAAACATGACTGTTAGGTTAATTAGCTTCCCTAAATTCTCCTTAGGTGTGTGTGTGTGTGAATGACTGTTTATCCTCTTTGTCTCTGTGTTGCCCTGCGATGGACTGGCAACCTGTCCAGGGTGGACCCGGCTTCTCGACAGCTGGCACCAGCACCCCTCGCGACCCTGCTTGGGATAAGTGTGACGGAAAATGTATGGATGGATCTGCATCAGCTGTTTGGATCTTAGCACTTTTTCTGTTCACTAAAATAATAAAATATTTTCACATAGAACACATTTATATCCTAATTTCCTCTCTTACAGACTTACAGCCTCATCGGAACCACAAATTACTATAGTTAATTTCATTCTAGCTCCACATTATCACAAAGACACGATTATTAATTATTGATTCATTTCAGCTCATAAAGCATTTAAAGGTTCAGTATTTCAACTATAAAAATACCTCTGTTAAAAAATGAAAACAAGTCCAAATTAGGCACAGGGTCCCGAATGCAAAGCTCACAGCTTATACTGAGACACAACATACACTTCCATCCCCATGTAGTGACATGGATTAATAAGAAGGCATGATATGTTTGCATAAACACTGTATCTTTTCTCTGGTTTAAACTCATGCATATAAGCATCTTTCAACCATTCTTTCACAAGTATATATGCACTGCTGATTAGTCCACAGTCATCACATTTCAATAACTAGATAGATTTACTTTTCCTTGTAAAGCTCTGGTGCCGAAGGGTTGTTTCTATTAACCTTCAAATGGCGTGCAGAGCAGAATACATAGAATTGTTTGTCACAATGAAGGAAATGTGTTTAATATTTAATGGTTGTACTTATCTGCATCTAAAATATACATCAGACAAAGAAAGACATTTTAATCTTTTTTCTTATTTACCCTTGATTACTGTGATACTCAATAAAATTCAAAAGGAACATTTGTTAAAAGTATCACCACCTGTGCAAAGTTCATCTCAGTTTTTATCCAGCTGCTCTGGTAAGGATTCAGAGGTTTGTTAGAGAATGGTATTGAACACACAGCATCATGTAGAAGAAAGTAGACAGCATATAAGTGAGGTATAATGTTGCAGCAGAGATAAAAAGCAATGGTAAGTTATAAAACAATATCCCACACTTTAAAATCCCATGGAGAATTTGTATAACTCATCACTAAGAGACAAGAAGACTAAAGTATATTTGCAAATTCCACAGTGAACCACAATGATGAGAGCATCATGCTTAAATAAACACATAATATAAATAAACTGAAGTTTGTTTTTAAAATAAAAGATGAAGAAAAATTTTGAAAATGAAAACTTTGAAAAGAATATAAATCTGAATATTTTTTATTACGCTTATTTCTTTGAAGGCATCAAAATATAACTTCTCAAACTGAAGTGATGTTGTTGTGAAGGAAGGAAGGAAGGAAGGAAGGAAGGAAGGAAGGAAGGAAGGAAGGAAGGAAGGAAGGAAGGAATCAAATCACATTTAAGTTCATGTTTCATATTTGAATTCCCTGCTAAAATGAAGTGTTTCTTATCTGCTATCATCCATAAATATACATTCCATCAACACATTTGTATCCTTCAGTGAATAAAGGCTTGAAATTATTTTAACCACATGGTTTTTATTATTAATAAAACATACATAAGGAGCAACGATGCATAGTAAAACTAAGTTAACACTGAAAGCATGTCAAACTGGAAAATGATATTACTTAAGCATAGAACAATACATTTGATTTCAATCTAAGAGTATAAAAGTCATCATTTTAACGAACAGCCAAGGTCAGCAGGAAAGCCTAACACGCATACTGATTTGCAGAGGGTAACGTCACAAAGGCACAATGAAAAACACATTCATTGATGGAACTGGAAACAAAAAGTTAGTCAGAGGAACTTTAAAAAGATTTGAGAAATAGGGTAAGATTAAAAAAGTTCCTTCAAATATCTTCAAATTGCCTTTTATTGCATAAGTCCTGCTCAAATGAAATGAAAGAATTTCATCGCATTTATTCTCGCTCGCAAGAAAAAAAAAGCCCATCACATGAATCACAATGAGCGTTCTGGATGCCTTTCACTGAGAGCTGGAATTAAATTTAACACAAGATGTCAACGTGGAACCCGTCCAAAAGTACTAAAAAAAAGGCAAGTGTAAGTATTGTAAGTCAGAGGACAGAAGGTAGGGGAAAAAAAGAGGTTAAGGTGGGGAGAAGAAATGAAGCAC